CGACGGATATGTCTACCTCTATTTCACTTCAATTATGAATGAAACTACATTAAAGGACTTTAATTTGATAATGTTTTGTCATTACAAATGAATTGATATGCAGTGAGTAAGCAATGTCACTTTAGAAATTTGTGAATAGCTTATAGTATAAATAAATCCGCCTACTTAATTCAATAATTTTCTAATGTTAATGTATAAACAATTTCAATGGTTTATTTATGTAACAGGTAGTACGTGATGTAACTTTGAATAAACTGTTGCAATAAAGAAGTATTTAAAACTACAGCATATTTTCTTTTTATTTATCGTTTAATAATACAATAAAAAATATTATTTGCTTTCGTAAAAAAATTAAAATTGTCAGATGTTTAATTTTTTTTTTTTTTCAATGGTTATTAGATGACACAATAAAAGAGTTTAAGCTTTGAATATGGTATAATCTCTTGACTACCTTTCGTAGTAGTAAAAAACGTTTTAAAGCAATCGATATTTTAATGCATAAACACGTTTTTATCATCGTCCAAAAATATTACCCTCCATTAATCTCTCCAATATATCTGAACAAGTTGATTTATCAAACTAACGAGCTTTTTACGTATTGTCAAATTAAATATAATTGAGGGTTATAATTTCTCTCTGTTGGTTTTTTATTATTTTCCAAGCTTGGTAATTAAAATGAGATTTCTCACTGATTTAAAAAGAATTAAAAAATTTGAATAACCATATGGAGAAATGAGCTTTTGGTATTAGCTCAAATAATAATTATAATTACGAATATAATAAATAATAAATAATACAATTAAAAATAAATATAAAATTAGTAATGATAGTTAAAAAATTTGATAAATAATCATTCTAGTGACTTTTCAAGTAGGAAGCTTTTTTTTAAGCCGAACATCTATGAGAAGTTAAACGAAAGCATTCGAAAGTTTTATCAGCATGGTCGGTAAAACAGAACGTAAGAAAAGTAAAGCTTTTATCACCAAATGGGACACCTTGAACTAAGGGAAAAAAGCCATGTTTCGTGAGAAACCTGTTATCAACTCTACCTTACCAACGGAGATAAAATGTCATCGCTAAATTTCTTCGAACGAAAATGATTTATATCGTACACGTACAAAGTGTCAAAAGAAAATTAGAATTCCCAACTGTTGATAAATATTTACAGGCGCGTAATGTTATAATAATTCAAAAATAAACTTTAACAAATGGTTTTATACCAGAAATTTTACATCACAATTTTAAACCTAATAAAATATGTGACTTAAATGTTTAATTTGCAAAAGTACTTAGATTGTTTAAAACAAAGTTTCCTTACATTAATAAAATGTTATATAAAGTATACTAATTGACGATGGATCATGATCATAATTAGAGTAAAATTACAGCTAAGTATTCGTAATGACGATGTTCTACCTTTTGTACTGACGAACTAGGTCTTCGTTAATTAGTATACTCGTTAGTCCATTATCATACCAATCGATAATCTTTTCTTAAACGATATAGATAGTTACTTTTTTTTCTTCTTCCTTTATTATTATTTTTTTTTTTTTTTTAAATCAGGCCAAAGCGCGATGCGCACATTTACGTAAAGAGAATACTTAATCCTTTGCTTCATAAAGTAAATCATTAAGCGTAAAAAAGTTCCTGGTTATATATAATATAAAAATGATAATAAGAAAAAGCAGAGGTTTCGTCGGCAAGAGTTTTTAAATTATCGATCAAACTTATGTTAAAAAATAAAGAAAATAAAATAAGAATATTAGATTCGTGTTGTAAAACTTTGATTAAACCTTAAATCAATTGTTCGTGTATTTTATGTTAAACAAAAGTATATTTTATATAAAGCAAAATTGAAACTAGTTAAAAATTGAGTATTGTATTTATCGATCTACAATATAATACGCATTGACGTGAAAATGTTAACAAACCATGAAATTATATTCACGAGTTTATCAAACTAACTTTATTTTCGAATAAACTTTTCTAATAGATTGATGTTACTCTAACATATGTTAGAAAACCTCGTTCCAAACTTATCTTAACTATATTGAATTTTTATTTTATTTTATTTTATTCGATATATTCGGGACAGTACAAAGAAAAAAGCAGAAAAGAAAAGAAAGAAAGTTTGGAAAAAGTAGATAAAGTATTATACATTTTACCTCTTCTTCTTTATTGCAAAAAAAAAAAAAAAAGAAGGAATTTCTTGATTTTGTTATCGACATTTTACGATTTAAATAGAATACGTGAAATAGAAAATTAATGTGAGTTTAACCGGTTATCTTTATTTTCAATTATCGAGATAAACATTTATGTAACACGTGCATCCAAACTTTGTAGAATTAAATTTCAACGAGATATCAGTTTCATCGTTTATCGAAGAATTATGAAAATGATACGTGATGATAAATTATGCGAACGATGGTAACTTAAAATGGTTTTTTTTTTTTTTTTGATACATCGCCAAAATGCATGTTTATCTTCTGTACGAGATGCAAGTTATTGACAAGATAATTTCCTGAGATGTTTTCTTATTTTTCTTTTTTTTTTTTTTTATATACTTTTCGTAAAATATAAAATATATTTTACTTTTAGTAGTTTCACGTTGTATGGAAATGTACTCACAAAGTTTTTACTTGGAAAATGCGAATGACGAGTTACAATTTATTTGAAAAACACGCACACACTTTATTCTTGCATTATATTCAATGTAAAACAACTTTCTTCCATTTCTTGAGAAACTAGACGCTATAAAAATAAAAATATATATTATAAATCTATAAAACCTTGAGTGCTTCACTGCATTTTACAGCTTTTTTTTTTAATGGTGTCTACACTTTTTACATCAAATAAAATGTAAGCGCAAAATTAATTTTACTTTTTTTTTATAATCAACTCCATTATCTTTTGTATAATTGAATGTTCAGAATAAAAAAAAGTGTACTCACGTGGACAGGTACTTAACGTAATCCGCTTATTACGATTTGCCACTTACCTGAAATAAATAAAATACACAGGATTTTTATAAATTATAATCTTTTCTCGATAATTAAAATCCTCTCTCTCTCTCTCTCTCTCTCTCTCTCTCTTTCTCTGTTACGTTATACGAATATTTAATTTATAAATTAATTACAAGACGTATAATAAATACGATTGCACCTTATTAAAACAATAGAATTTCATTTTACGACTGGTAATTGTAATCCTAACAGAGAATATATTTCATACTTAAAATAAATGTAAATTAATATGAGTATAATTTAAATAGATAAATAGATACAAGTTTGAATATAATTTTAGTATTATTTGTTATCGATAATTGGAATAATAAATTTCATAAATAATTATAAAATATAAATTTGTATACATTTTTTGGTTCATAATTATTGGCACATTTTAAAATGAAAGTAAAAATTCTGTTTGACGTTAGATTTAATAGATTAAATACACGAAATAAAAAAAAAATAAAAAATGTAGATAAAACTTTAATAGTTCGAAATAGCCTATTCCAATCTAATAAAGTAGGTCAACCGATAATACGAGACCCGATACACCCCCATTAATATAAGTATTAAGTATACCACCCAAAAATCTGTCTCATCTTGTGTTCTTCAGTTTGAATATGGTCATAATACAAAATTTATATGTATGTGTATGCATTTTAAAATAATATATTGACAGTCACGTCTATGAATCCCAAGGACTTTTTAATAGATCCACGTTTTCTATTTTTTTTTGTCTTTTCAAGTTAATTTATTATTTCTTCTCTTTTTACTATTATTTTCACGAACATAACGATGATAAAGTGAGTTATTACAATCGATTTAACTTATCTCCGACTTCTGTAAAATAGTACACTTTTATTACACATAGACATACATATATATTTAATATAGTGCATCATTGCGGTACATATTTTTTCAAAGGAAGAAATGAATGTCAAGGTTTCCTTTTCAAAAGAAGTCTACTCGAGTTTACGATTGAAATGTTATACATACTGATATTTACAAAAAAAAGGAAAATGTTTTACGTCATAGTAAAAGGGAGAGATGAATGTAATCCTAAATGAAATGAATTCAATGTTCTTAAAGTAATAGCTTCTTTTACAGGATAACGAAAATTCTTTATCAAGTATTAAAAAGCTTATCTAAAATAAATTTTCTTATTTAAATTTTAACAAGATAAAATACTTTTAATTTTCACTTGCTATTAATCGTAAAAATAATATGCACAAGAGTATAGAAGAGTATCTTTCTTGTATTTAACTAACTCTTAACATTGAATTATCTCACCTTCTGTTACGAAAGTAATTTAGAAAGTAGTATGAAGGGTGGAAAAATCGTTGTAATTAATTATAAAATATGCTAGAAGTTAATTATAATTATCTATTTATTTCTTCTTTACTGAAATTACTTGTTTACTGAAAAGTTATTGCACGATTGCAATTAAAATATGATAAATACTATATATATATTGGAATTATAATAACGAAAAAGTAATTTAAAAGATTGATTTATAAAACATTCTGAAATAATGATTAATTTAAAAAAAAAAATGCACTATGATACTTGCACATTTTTATAATGCAGATTATCTAACGAAAATTTAATAAATATTTATTTCTCTTATAAGATAAACTCATTAATAATATTAACAAGTCATATACATTTAACAAGAAAAAAAAAGACAGAAAGACAAGGACTCTCTTGATCTGTAATATTTATTTTTTGCAAAATAACGATAGGATACCTGACGATGAAAAAACAAAATTCCATAAAAAAAAATAATAATAAAAAAAAAATATGTACATTGTTCTATTGCACGCAATATAATTATAAAATATATATATAGTTTATTATATTTAAATTAAATTAAATATAAATTAAATTAAACGTATTTAATTTAATATATATATATATACTAATTACGATATAAAAATTTAAATAAAATAATGTAATAATTATCGACAAATAATTATTATAAAAATAATAATATACCTTTCGTCCAATCTGAAAGATGACCTAGATAAATCGCTCCAAGCACTCATACTTCGACTTCTTCTTCTGCATGACGTCTGGGGTACGATTAATCTCGAACTACTTCGTCTTCTCGTAGAGGCCAAATTATCAGTTTGAAAATAAACCTTAGGGGAGTGAGTTTTTTGTTGAGCATTAGGTGGTGTCGAAGTTGGCGTAACCGCGGTTGAAGTATGCAATTCTGGTAAAGCTTCATAATCCCATCCACGGGCTCCCATTTCGAGCAAGGGTACCGTCGATGACGCGTTAGCACCCGGAAGCGGGTCCCGAGGCTTTTTACGTTTCCTCAATAAACCAATTATTTGTCCTATCTTTGATTCGTTAGAAAAAGATCTGTTCGATCTAAACGTTTCCTCGTCATCTTTATTTTGATTTTGATTTTGATTTTGATTTTGATTTTGATTTTGATTTTTATCAATTTTTCTCGTTAATTTCACTTTGCTCTCCTCGTTCGATAACCCCGTGACAGATATCTCGATCTTAGGCGGTCCTCTCTTATGTTTATCCAATTTGTTCTTTGATCCTGGCATCGATTACTGCATCGATCGCACGTAGCGCTTCCTTTCATGATGAAACTCCCTCGGAACTTCGAGCTTTTTTTTTCTTTTTTCACCGAGTACTTGCTTTTCCTACCCCTTTTCTACTTTTGTATCTTTACGTTTTATCGCGATTTTTTTTTACTTGTATTATCTTATTTGTTTCTTTATTTCTTATCTTTTTTCTTAGAATATTTCTATTTTTAGAATAGTGTTTAAGAAAATAGTTTTCGAATGATAGAACGAGAGGGTAAAAAGAACGAGTGACAATGACGTATTATTCCCTTTCACCTAACTCACATTCGTTCTATTCCAATTTGCATAAAAATTAGATTTATACCTACTACCCCTCCTAACAAGGAAATTTTCAATTTGTTGAAATAACTCTGATCGATCATTCGCACGATATAAACCGAGAAATAAGGTGCTAACTCTATCTCATTTATATTTATTATACTTACTACGTATAAAGGTAAAACTATATTTAAAGTATTATTAATGTGTCTCGTTGATTTTTATTTTTCTTCCGTTCGTTTAAAAAAAAAAAAAATTATTGCAGCTTTTAACACATTCATGAAATCCTTTTACAATCTGAATAATAATCTCGTACGTGTTAAAACTATCCAATCGAATTTCTTCTTACGTTTACTGAAAAGACGTGTAAAAGTCGACATCAAATTTCAAACCCTCGTTCCTTGGATTTTACAAACTTTTTTAACCCAAATACGATTTTTTTTTTTCAACAAGAATATTTTATATAATGGGCACGTAACAAACTAACACACGACGATGCCCTAATTCAACAATAACTATCTTCAATATTAACTAGATTTAACATTGTAACTATTTTGTAAGAAAGTATGCAAAATGTTTGAACAATTTAACATTAAATACTTTGATTAATAATAAAAACAATTAGAGTTGTTAACAAATCTTGCGCAATTATTAAAAAAACGAGTAGATTATCTTGCAACAGCTGACATATACGCGTTAAATAATTTATCTACAAAAATCCTATTATTAATATCGAACGTTTAAACAACTTTTCATTTTTTTTTTTTTTCAAATCATTTATTCTCGAGAAATATATTCACAACTCGTCACCAACACGTTTGGATCTATCAAAGATTAGAAAAATATTTGTTATTCAACGTTATCATCGGGTTCCTATTAAAATTCGCGCGTGTTTCTTTTTTGGATGACTAGGAACAATGTGGTGTGTTGGTTGTACGCGCGCGCACGTACATACCACTTCTAAACACTATTACAGAGATCATTTTGTAAAGGGGATCATGGCGGTTCAGAAATACAAAATTTACTGATTACTTGCCTCAAAAAATTGATGATCTTACTCCGGTTTTTTTTTTTATTTTTTTTTTCAACGATCCGCACGATACGTCAACAACGAGAAAACTGAGAGAAAACGAGTAATTCGCTTCGTAGTTTTCCACGACTGACCTGGATACGTCATAAAATGCTTTGCTTGTGGGAGTAAGAGAAAAGAGTGAAGGTCACGGTCAACCGGTAGCAAAAACTACTTTCAACGTTCTTACCGTACTTTAACAACTATAAATTATACTTAACTTCTCCGATAACATGGATGCAACACCAATGTTTGCTGCTAACACATTTTTTTTTTGCTACACGCACGCTCACGCGATTTGATTCTTACGCAGATCACTACTACTACTACCACCACCACTACCACCACGTTACTTGAAAACGTTCATTCATACTTGAGCCGTGGGCATGCTCAACGTCCCACCCTAACCATTTGACTCCCACAAACTGACTTTAATTACTTTCCCTGAATAATAATAGTAATAATAATAACAACAATTGATAGTAATGTTATTAATAGTATCAACAATAATTCACAACGATCAATGCTGATTTGAAAAAAGGTTTGCTCTATATATCTATATATATGTGTGTGTGTGTGTGTATTAGGTATATGAAGATGTCCCAGTTAACAGCGTGCCTTGATTCTTTTTTTCTGTGTCACTGCATTACGAATAAAAATCATTTGACGATTTATACTCCAAACTGATTGTACAAAAAAAACCCTTCATTTCTACATTTCTGATCGATTAATCAAGAAAAATAATTCTCATAGGATGAGACACGTAATAAGAAAATAAAAGTAAATTTTATAAATAATATTATATTATTCTTTCGATTAACCTAATATAGGGTACTCAAGTTAATATCTTCTCTCCCTAAGTGTCATTCGTCCCTTTCGTCATTAGAACTATGATAAGAAAAGGAATTCTTCCTTCTAAAACACTCACAGTCACGAGATAGGTAAAGGGCGGAAGCCAGCTAAAAGCTTTGGATCGAAACAACGCCGAATACTTTGACAGTGAAATTCACACGAAAATACAAAGAGAAAGGGTGATAGGAGTAGAAAGGGAGGAAATAAGGGAGAGTGAGAGTATATATAATTTCGTGAACAAGGAAATAAAAGTACTCAATTGATTTCCAATTGACTGAAGGTATTTGGAAATGGCCGAATTCGATTCTAACGTTTTGGCCCTACCAAAAAAAAAAAAAAACAATTATTATGCACTAAAAAAAAGACGTTGTTTGTTCTTTTCCTCGAATGTGTGAAAATTTTGACCAATAATAAGTCGTGTTCCTAGATGGCTGCTTGCTTTTCTCATACCACCAACACCAATACCACCAACAAAACTACCACCAACACTACCACGAGAGTTGTCTGACTCGCTGTCCCGTACTGCGGTACATTGTAGAGCTTTTCTCTCGTGGTTGAATCTCGTCTCCCGCGCACACCACCCCTCCTACCATTCTCATCTACCCTACCCTTCTCCTCCCTTCCCTACCCTTCATTTTGCTCTCTTTTTTCTTCTTACCAAGAGATCCTTCTCTCTTTCTATCGTTATATATATATATATATATGTATATAGCTATCTCTGACTATCTTTCTATCTCACCTAACAAACTCACACTAACGTAAGATCATCACGCACACTTGCATCCACTTATATTGCACGTGGCGCCGCCGTTGTCAAGGCGATTGCGCCACGGAAACGAATAAAAGCCATCCCTTTTCAGGTTATTGTTTTTCTTCTTCTTATATACACCTTCATACCTATATATTTCATACTTGTACCTTCATACTTGTATATTTCTAATCTCAATTTGCGAATACAATCGTTGATCATTTTTTTTCCACCCCCTACCCCAGCTGAAAATTAATATGATTTGTTTCTTTTATTCTTAAGTGAAAAGGGGACAAAATTTGTCTATTCTGTTACATGTATAATTGATTTATAATATGATAATAAATGTTTGTAAATTATTTGTATATTTCAATAAATTGATGATGTCTTTTAAGATACTCTATCAGATAACGTAATGTTACATGAAGCTCACGAGATGAATGGATGGTTGAAATGTATCATCGATTCTATGCAGTGCAAACGGAAACTCGGTTGGTGAGCTTGCGCTTTAGAAATCTAGGAATAGCGCTTAAAGTTACCCAATTTGATCAATCATATCTGAAAATATCCGAACTATTGAGAGATAAAATCATCCCAAGTAAAGGAGGATCATGACATTTTTCTTATTTCTTGTAACACGATCAGTTTGAACCATCAACTAGGTGGTTTTCGAATCGAAGGTATAAAAAACTTTGACCTCTTATTCTCAAATAAATACGAATACCATTTGAATGAATTTGATTCATTATGATAATGTAATCACATGTTGAATTATCTTTAATATATTAATATTTAATTATATAATTTAATATATATAATAATGTAATTATTATTATATAATTATAATTATTTTTAATAATTAAATATAAATGTATCTAACATTGTTTGAATAATGAATTTATATTTTATTTATTTTTTGTTTTTTTATATTGTATTTTATATAATTATTATTATTTATAATAACTTATATTATAAATAATATTTATATTAATTTATATTATTTATAATATATAATTATTATTATATAATTATCATTATTTTTAATAATTAAGTATAAATGTATCTAACATTGTTTGATTTTTTATAATGAATTTATATTTTAATAATTTGTTTTTTTTTTAAATCGTACTCATTAACAATTAATATTATTTACATTTTTTATTCTAAAACAATACGAAATAATTCGCCTAATGAATCCAACCACAAATGGTATTCTCCCTATCCTTTTTTTGAATTCAATTTTGAATTATCAATTATCAATTATCAATTATTCCCATGAATTATTACGAACAATGTTTCGAAAAGTAGGCATTACGAATAAAATAATAATCCAATTGAAAATAATGCGTAGGAAAAAGCTTAAATTCCTTTTTTTTTCTTCCTCTATCGTGAATATTTCATTCGTATTTTGTGGAAAGGTGAATTAAGGGAGAAATTGCTGAGATAAATTTTGCAATTTTTTTTCATGTACCATTGGCTCCCTTGATCGTTCATCTTTTTTTTCTTCTCTCAATCTCACCCATACATACACACACATTTCCCAAGAGAAGATACATATGTTTTTCCCATACGTGTGAGACCATTCTCATGAATAAGAAAAAATTCGTGCATGCAAAAATGACGAGAAGGGTGAAGTCGTCCAAATACACGAATATAAAAAATAAATAAAAAGGGAAACATTTCATGTAAAAAAAAAATGTTTAAAATATGTTTATTATGGTCCTAGTATTACGGGAAAGCATCGATATTGTGATGCATAAAATAAAATAAGATTTTGCCTTGTGAATCCCTTTTCTCATATTGCATGCTCACATGTATCCTCTCATCCCCATAACTATGCGAAATAATGGACAATGGCGTTCGCATGTTCTCTCATGTATGATGAAGAGATAGAACGAATGAGAACGTTCAGTAGAGGACCAACGCCGAGCAAATTCCAACGGGAAAGCTTGAAAGCACAGAGAAAGCTCGAGTGAGTATGATATGCCGTACTCTGTCGATAAAGCAGTGGCTACAATGAACAGTTCATTTGAAATGACCCTAAAAGCTCGAGTTAGATGATGCCCTATCGCATAACTGTACCATATATGTTACATACGAGGCCTTTTCATAGAACATTGGAATGTGTTCTGGTTGATTTATCAACCAAACCATCATCCATTAAGTTTCATAGTTTCATCCAAAGATATAAAATGAATCCTTTTGGTTCATAGGCGGCGCGCTTGTTGTCTTCGGAATTATCAAAAACAAAATATATTTCAATATTATATAGGATTAACACTAAATTACAGGATATTAATCGATTTGACTCGTTTATGATTTTATTGATGTATGTATATTTAGAAAAACTTAAATAATATTTAGTCAAAATTATAGGGTAGTTTTTAATAGAGTTATTAAATGTATTTACCTCTTCCCAACCCTTTCTCAGTTCAAAAAATCCTAATGTGCTATACTTATAATATAATATAATATAATATACCTATATATAATTCAAATAATCCTAATATGTAACCTATGTTGATGGTTGTGTAATATTATTTCATTTACAAAAAAAAAAAACAACTAAAGCTATCCGAAACCATGTGAAATAATTCATTTGTTTGTTTTATTTTTTCTTTTTCACAGCGGTGTAAATCAAATTTATCATGCGAGAGCACGCGTCACTAAATTAAATTTACAAAAATCTGACGTAAAAGAAAGAAAAATGAATTCAAAAAAACATGTGTGCAAATTACACGTGTGAGAAGTGTAACCTTCAAAAATCTAACATATGTTTCGAGAGCATGAGACGAATGCACAGTTTCAAAAGTAAGATAATGGTAGGATTTATTTATTTTAATATTATTACCATATATAGCAAAGGGAACCGGTATGGTCTCTGGGTGGAATAGCTAATAAAAAGTATACTTTTCCAAATTCAAGCAATAAAAATGGAATGCTGAATGCGATAGTTATAAATAGACACCAAAATCGTAGGATGTTTATCAAAGGAAATATAATTCGTCAGAAATTAAGTAAATATAAATAATCCTTTTTTTGAAACTCAGGTATAAAATTTTTTTTGTTAAGATGGTTTTCAATGTCCCGTTTTCATCTACATTATTGCGCTGCTAACAAACATTTTAGGATAGACGAAATAAAGACGTTACGAAAAACATATGGAAAATACTGCTGGATTGAACGAAGGTTCTGGTAAAATGCAATGAGAGATCTAATAGAGATATTCTCTAGAAATGTTTTTTTAATTCTATAGCATACTCTCGTCTAAATAAAGATCTGAACAACGAAAAATCTAAAAAAATGCATTGAATCGTATCGCTCTCTCAGCTTATCGAACTGTGTACACTACGAGTCTCAAATTTCAGCCCCGTGGTAAGCTCCACCGATTCACGCTGGGCGTTCAACATCTTCAAAATTTTTTTATTTTATTGAAAAATTAGTATAAGTTTCGTAAATACGCAAATATTATAATTAATAATATAATTTTCTTATATGTATGGATCAGTACATGTCTTTGGATATTTTTTCCAAAAACATATAAAAATCAAATTTAAGAGACATATTTTGTCTGTATGAATTAAGTATATTTTATTAAAAAGAAAAAGAAAAATGTGACAGTAATTAACTTGCTTTTGAATGGAATTTTTCAATTGCTCCTAATGTATTCTACAGTGTTCTCTAATTCTTTTTCTCTGATGTATCTTGTAATTATTCTTTTTTGTAAAATATTTCAGATAATACAATTATTATATATTCTATGTATTTCATAATTATTAATTATAATATTTGCGAAATAAGGAATTTAATACTAATTTTTCAATAAAATAGAAACATTTTGAAATAGAAAAGATATGACACGTTTTGTAAAATATCATGTGTGCAGATCACACGTGTTAGAAGTGAAACCTTCAAAAAACTAAATTTCGAAAGAATGAGACGAATGCACAGTTTCAAGAGTAAGATAATTGTTGGTTTTATTTATTATAATATTATTATTATAATATTGTTACCACATTCAAAAATTATTTGTCTCGTTACTACGATAATACCCTACGAAAAGTTCGTAGGTTATTTCCGAAAAGTTCGTAGGGTCTTTCCGATAAGTTCGTAGGGTATTTCTGAAAAGTTCGGAGGGTATTTCCGAAAAGTTCGTAGGGTATTTCTGAAAAGTTCGTAGGTCCGTTATAACGAGACATGATCAAGTGCACGCGTACTTTGCTAAAATTCAAAGTCAATTTTCTTGAAAACAAAACCTCAAACGAAAAATATTTATTTTATATTTTCGATTTATTTTTTCATGTAGAAACGACCTTTATTTGAAATAGATGAAACTAATTCGTTAAAAAAAAAAAAAGTTACAAAAGACAGAAGAGAAAGAGTAATTTAACCGTAAAAAAGGGTGGACCCTTGCCATACCCAACAAATCGTTCATTTTCCAACCTATATTTCATTGATCTTCTACTAGCTACGATTTTAATTATAGGATTAAATTTATTGAATAATTGTCGACCCGTTTGTGATTAATCGTATCAGTTGTATCGATCATTCTGATAAAAGTAAAAAATAAATAAATTGAAATACTATTGAATTTTATTTTCACTCAAAAGGTTTGAAAAACGATCAAGAGGGATTTCATTAATAAAAAAAGGAATTTCAATTTAAACTTATTCCCAATGTTCAAAATTATTCTAGGTAAAAAGAAAAAGTGAATTTCAATTTCATGTTTATAAAGTTTTCATTTGAAAGAATACTTTTAATCCACGTGAAATATCTTGATATGCGTTACTTTTGTTT